ACAATTTATTATTTGCGCTTTATATTATTTCATACATATATTTGTTTTGCTTGTTGCTTTGTTTTGTTGAATTAAATTTGAAACATGTTGTAATTGATGAATATTTTTGAATAGATCCGATCGATTTTTCAGCAAATCAAAAAGTTGTACAACAACCACCTGCAAGGCCAGCGAGTACACCAACGGAAACGCAACAATGTGTTTTAACAAGTGTACAACAGGAAATGGCAGCACGACGAAAGGCTAATATTTCGCGCCAAGATTCCAGATTATCTGTTAAATGTTTAATAGAAAGTATTGAAAACGCTACAAAACAAGCTAAAGCTGGTATATTTAATATATGTTGTTTATATTATTTCTATTATTCTCACACACATTGCTCATATTATTTATTTTTTATTAGGACCGGGAAGTCGTAGCAGTTCAACATCGTCTTTGAATTCTATAGGAACAAATGATATAATGACACTGAAATCTCCTCTCAGAGATCAGCAACAAATAAATAACTTAATCTGTACATCAAATTCACCAAATAATAATAAAACACAGGCGGCAATAAATAGGAAACCATTAACAGGTAATTTACTATACAAGTCCTATTATAGTGGGCATAAGTTGCTTTTTAATTCATAAAATTGCTTTCATTACATAATCTAATACTTATCTTATGCTTCTCTGAATCCTCTTTTATATATTATTCATAACTTGTGTGTTTAGATAATATTTAGAAAATAGAAAATTTTTTTTTTATATGTATCAGTAGTCATTTGAAAATTATAAATCTTTAGGATTTAGATCCTAATCATGGAGGATTTGGCTTTATATGTTACTTAAGCTGCAGATGATAACCTTTAGTTGAAAAATAATAATAAAAAAAAAAAAGACACGCATATCTCATTTTTTTCTGCGCTTGAATATATCACGTAATCGCATGTCTATCATTCATTATTTTCATATAAATAAAGGTGATTTGATCATTATTTATGTTATCATTTCCTGTATTGTTTTATTGGTAGTTCAGAATATAAAAATATTGGTATTTCATCGGAATCATTATATTCTGCACTCTATTATTTCAATTCTTTATCGCTTATATATATATATACACATATATACATATCACATAAGATATAGCTTTGTTACATGTAACAAATAAAGTTTGATAAATTTACTTTACTCAGCCATCTTATCTTCCACTTCCTAAAACAGAAACAAAGTCAGCAGTACCCGTGGTTTTAAGTCCTGGTGAACTTTTGGATTCTGCTGCATTAAATGTCAAGGCTATTGATTTTGTTCGTCGAAATAGTGTGACAGATTTATCAGAACGTAAAGATCCGCTTTGTGGTTTGATCAAGAATGGTGGTTCTAAGAGAAATGCATTACTTAAATGGTGTCAAAACAAAACATTAGGCTATCGAAATATCGATATAACTAATTTTAGCAGCTCTTGGAACGATGGCTTAGCTCTTTGCGCTATTCTTCATTCTTATCTCCCATATAAAGTACCATATGATACTTTAACACCTGCTGAAAAACGAAAAAATTTTTCCATTGCATTCTCCGCTGCTGAAAGTGTTGGCATATCTACAACCTTGGTGAGTAAAACAAGTGTGCGTGTGCGTGTGCGTGTGCGTGTGCGTGTGCGTGTGTGTGTGTGATGCGTGCGAACGCACACGCGCGCCTATGTGTGTGTGTGTGTGTGTGTGTGTGTATGTGTGTGTATGAATATATATAAACAATATAAACAATATTGATTTATAATCAATGCAATGAGATAAAGAAAATGTAAGTATGTATTAATTGGGCGATTAGTAATAATCATAAATCTACTTTCTTCACAGAATATAGGAGAAATGTGTCAACTGGAAAGACCCGATTGGCAACAAGTCATGACATATGTGACTAGTATTTATAAACATTTTGAAACATAATCGTGGTCACTATCGAAGATTAAGCTATATCATTCTTCCCATTGAATCCTCTTACACTTATTTGAGTGATCAAGAACAACGGCATCTAGTCAACTAAATTCTGCAAGATACGATTTTATACAAATTTTTCATTATTGCTGGATTAGAGCACTGCCTATACTGTATATATAGCTTTATGTGAAAGGATCTATTGAAGCATACAGAGAATTCGATGGAAGACTACACACCAAATGGAATTGCTTTTATCATGAGACTGAAAACTTATTTACACATGTGTACGCATACATACTATGTATAGTAAAACCAAGAAATGGATATTTAAATCTGATGAAAGTATAAAACAAATACCTTTTATATATATATATATATATACACATATACATATATAAAAGGAAAGATATAGTATATAATTAAATGCAAACTTCACGACTTTCTATAATAAATATAACTATGCTTTGCAGTGTCTTTTTAGCAGAGTTATGCTATACACATTGCAATATGGTATGCATTACATATATGAAAATGCATGTTTACATAGTAGAGTCTTGCATATTTGCAAATAATAAATGTCAAGTATTTGCGTTCCTCATACTGTATTTTTGTACTTCGATTATTTTTCGAGATACTTTTGTAAAGTTTACGAACGATGTACAGAACTAAGCGCCTTAATTTAAGATATCTAATTTATTGCATTAGTCATGTTTAGTCTACTATAAAGCAAAGCAGCATATTATTAGAAGAGATTGTTTATGTTCTATTTTACTGAATGAGATAGGAAAAAAGATAATTAAAGGCTAAGTTCTCTGTGATATAGGAAGGTAGCCCCGATACAGAGATACAGTTATCGTTATTGCTCTTATTATTAGCGCTAATATTAATATCGTCCTTGTCGTCGTTGTTATATTAATATAGACAATATGCTGTCTGATATAAAACAATAAACTTGCCTGATATATGGATATTTAAAAAAACTACATATATATTTTTTTTTTATTTTAAATATTATTTACGACAAAGAAAAATATCATTCATTTACGTAAAAGATGTAATTTAATCATTTTATAGTACAGTCGTTAGATAGCTAAAAATAAGTATATTAGATTGTATAATCAAAACAATATTTACAAAGAGACAATATGTGACTATATTGCAATATATGATAATCTAAAGTTTTTCAATTGTTACAATTGACTTTATTTAGTATATTTATTGTAACTGATTATATGAATCTTATGTGATCGATTTAAAAAAATCAACAACCATCAGAGAGTTGAAGTTATCATTTTTATTCATTTGAAAAATTCGATTTCTTTTGTCTTCATCATGTTTCGCTCACATCCATTTTATCTTGATCTTTATCACCTGAATAATATTCATTAGCTGGCTCAATAATTTTATCCGTGTCTTGTACATTTTGTCTCGAATCAGGATCTGGTTCCGGTTGCCTCTCTTCTTCTGGCGGTAATGCATCACATGGAACGTCTTGCATTTGAACACTTGGTGAATGTTGTATCATTTTTAAATTATCATAAACATGTCTAGTTATTGCCTCTAAATACTGTTTACTATTTGCATTATCTTGTCTAGTGACAACTTCAGGATGCAATGTAAAGTCTGGTGCAAAATATTCTAAGTATTCAGTATAAGGTAATTCATTGCTGATTTGTTCATCAACAAGTAAAGATGTTTCATACGTCCAACAACGTGCCACATTACGAAGGGTATAACCACCCCCACCAACGGTAAGTAAAGGTACATGTAAGTCTCTAACAAATTTGACACATTCTCCATGACCTTTTGTACTTAAACTGAAACATCCAAGCCTATCATTCGCTAAAGAATCTGCTCCACATTGTAATACAATTGCAGTTGGTTGGAAGAACTCCATTACATGTGAAATAACAGGTTTGAATACTTGTACATACGATGTATCATCTATACCTTCTTTCAATGGTACATTTACAGAATAATATCTACCACTCTCTGCTCCTATTTCATACATATCTCCTGTCCCAGGAAAGAAATAATTGCCATACTTGTGAAAAGAAACTGTCATAACTCTGTCAGTAAGATAAAATGCTTCTTGTACACCATCTCCATGATGTACGTCAATATCTATATATAATACTCTAGCATGATATTTTAATAATTCTAAAATAGCAATTACAATATCATTTATATAACAAAAGCCTGAAGCTTCAAATTTTTTAGCATGGTGTAAACCTCCGCTCCAATTGATTGCAATGTCACAACAATTATTATTTAATTTTGTTGCTCCTTCTAAGGATGCCCCAGTATACATAGAACAGAAATCAAAGAGTCCTTCAAAAACAGGACAGTCATCTCCCACATTAAAGTGACTAAGATATTTTGTATATCCTTGTAAATTTTGTGGCGTTACTCTTTGTAAAAACTCCACATATTCGTCAGAATGAAACCGGCACATATCGTGAGTACTTGCACGATAAGGACGATAAATTTGCATCTTTTTATGTAAACCATAATTAAGGACTAAACTATGAATTACAGACAATCTATGAGGTTTCATTGGGTGTCCAGGACCATAGTGAAAGTTTCCCACATCCGGATTATAAAAATATGATACTTTCTTATTGTAACTCATTTTGAGGTTATATATTTAATTTCGTATTATTTAAGCGCTTATTATAGCGGACACTTTTTATTTTATGTGTTTGATGTAATAAGAAAAATATTGATATCCTTATTACGAAATGTCATTACCACTTTATAAAAATATACATTCCAATTGTTCATAATATCCACTGTTTATTCACTAAAACACATACGTATTTTGATCTTAAGCTTTAATCTTAAATCAAAAACGCAAACATTGCACATTAAACTACGTAAATGATCACTATAATATAAATTATCAAAGGAAAATATAATTCTTTGATATCTTAAATATTCGTTGTATTTGTCGTGTGTATAAATTTTGTGACATTTTGTTGTTCCAATTGCAAATGTAAATAGCAACGAACAGCGATCTCTCGCTGTTGAGATGAGAGAACTAGCGCCATCTTATTAAACTTGACTTTCGATTACTCGAGAAAGCGGAAAATTCAATACAATATCGACCGTAAGAGATCTCTCTAATCGTGAAAATGTATTTAATAATCGAATAAATAAATATAACAATGAATAAAAAGTAGGTAAATAAAGTACAATATATATGAAAAAGCTAAGAAAATATATGTTAAAACGAACTACTTTTTTTGTACTTTCGAGATATGCGAGAATTGTATCGAGGTACAAATACATAGTGTGCATCTATTCGTATTTTGTCAGTAGCAACGGTTAGCAACGAGCACCGACGACGCTTCGTTTCAGAAAGAGAATGCGGATGTTCAAAGTATACGTCGTGACAGCTACATATGTTAATCAAATCATTAGTGAAATAATATTCTGATTTAACTGAGAAAAATAACATTTTCAATTTAATTCAAGGAGGAATATAACGAAACAGAAGAAAATTTAAATATCTCTAAGATGCGTCCTGATTCGCGTAGCGTCTCGTTCACGTTCCATCGTGAAGTTTTAAGTGTCAGAAATTCACCGGAATTGATACGTACTTCCAAAAATTTAAGACAACGTCTTCAAGATCGTTTCGACAAAGAAAAATCTAATGAGTCTTCCAAACAGAAAGCTACTAAAGAGAAAGATATCACGGAACGTGGTTGGAACAATTTGAGTCTTGGAAATGTATCTGCTGATTCTAGACGTGCTCTACGAAATGGAGCAGAAAAATTATCCAAAACCATATCAACAGTAAGAACAACGTTTGGTACAATTTCACAGGTTAGTACATTATGTATATATATGTGTATATATATGTATATATATATATATATATATATATATATATATGTATATATATTTTTTTTGTACATAGATTGATTATAATATTTATTGATTTCTTATTATATAGAAATTTAGAAGCTCAACACGAAGGCGTCAGAGATTGGAAGAACAACAATCTCCTGGCAGCAATAATAAAATACAAACTCCTCAATCACGCTCACGTCAATTATTGGGACGTACACCAACTAAATTATACAGTCCTTTTGGTATTGAATCTCCTAAGCGTGGTTGGAATAAAGAGAATGATGTTACGACGGTACAAGAGTCACCAGAAAATCATTCACGTCAAGTACAATGCAGGCCCTTCAGCTTTGTAAGAGCCAAAGGATTCTCTGTGCTAAGATAAAGCATTATTTTTGGGGCTCTTGTGTTATAATTTCTTTGTCTTCTAAGAAATACATCAAGAAACGCACATTTAGTACAACTAAGCACTTAATTTATTTTATTCTAATGAATAACGATGCAGCTATTTATCTATTCTATCATTATGCTAATAATCATTTTACAATGGGAATTCATATTATTTAATACCTATTCAAACATGTTCATTATTTTCATCCTTTTATTCTGAGATATTTTATAGAAGAATATTTCTACTTTTTTATATGTATTTATAATGATTACGCTTGCAATGTGAGATAAAAATAGAAATAGATTGCAACCTTTTTATTAAAATAACATTTATTAATAACAATCTCCTTAAAATTAAGTTATTTAAATGGTTTATTAAGATCAAAATTTACATTTGGTACAAATATTCATCTGTTTTTAATGTTTCCAACATTTTGCCATTATTTCCATTTTATAGAAAGCAAATTCATTTAACCATAACATCAAGATATAAGAATTTGTAAATCACATGAACAAAAATCACAATCAGTCTGTATTTGTGACACTAATAAGCACTTAATACAAATGTTCTATATGTATAAACATAGAACACTTGTTAGATTGATTCAAATAAAGAAATGGAAAGAAGTTTTATTGAAATGTAAATAAATTTTTTTTTTTTTAAAACAATATACATATATTAATGAGTAAATCAGCATAATACCAATCAAAAACGTATTTCATCGCGTCGTTTATAACCAATGCAACATGCGCATCATTCGACGCAGTCGTAAAAGAGCTCTCGACTGAAATGCGACATCGAGGTATTGTAAAAGTGAGAGAAAGAGAGAAAAAGAGAAAAAAGAAAGAGAGAAAATCAGCTCAATTACTAATCAAATACATAACATCTTTTAATTCTTTTAACAATGGGAATCAACCAATTTTTTATAATAAAAAAATTAAAATAATAAAATCTAGGAGACGCATAATGACTCTAACAAATTTTGAGATAGAAATAATGTTAATGTATCAAGTATTTCGTTAAATTTTCTTATTTATGTATATATATAAACATTTTCTTTTAATTAAAAAATTAAAAAAAATTTTTAAATTACCGATCGAACCGAATGGTAACCATCTTGTAACTTGTAACAATTTATTAATTATTTTTTTTCAAGTTCAAACATTTATGATTGATATATTTATCGTTAACATAGATGATGTTATTCTTAAAAAAAATATATATATATATATAAACTAAAAACGTAGTATGGAATATGTAAACTTAGATTTTTGAAAGCACTATTCGATATCTATGAATAGCTAATGCATATAAAGGTGTATAGAAGGACGATAG